CTAAAAGTAATAGCACAGATTAATAGACTTCATTTCAATACTATTGATTTTCATAGGTTTTAATAAGCATGCAGTAGATACTCAAAAACCAGAGATAAAATTCTTGATCATTATAACTCACTTAAGAAACATTTATAGAGCACTGTTCAGCCTTAAAGCATTTATAGAGCACTGTTCAGCCTTAGCACTAAAAGTACAGAGGTAAATGCCATTTTGAAACTCAAATATATATTTTATTATATATTTCAGATATAATATATATATGTGTGTGTGTATATATATATATATATACACACACCCACACACACACACACACATACACAATTACCAAAGGTATTTAAAGGGGCTCGAGAAAGCAAGTAAGATTTTTTTTTGCTCATCTTTAACAGTTGGTAAGTGAAATATATGTGTGTGTGTATATATATATATATATACACACACCCACACACACACACACACATACACAATATGCTCATTGTTCATACAAAAAAAATAAAGCTTAGAGATTAAAAACTCAGCCAGATATTATACAACCTCTATTTCCCATTCTAATATCCTGGGACTGCAATGTTCTTCATTATTATAACACTGCAGAATAGAAATCAGATATATATTTATGAATTCAGGGCTATTACCATATAATGAACTTAACTGTCTACACTGATAAAAATACTGAGATGTTTTAATTCATATCTACACAATAGTATATGATAGTAACACAACTTTGTAGCAATTACATATGAGAAGTATTACATTATTTGAGTTAAAATTATGGGTCTTGGCAAAACCAACCAACAAATAGTATTCCAATTTTGAACTAAACTAAATAATCTTTTATATGTGTCATCATGAACCAGTTATTTATCTTTTCTTTTCTTTTTTATTCCTTACTGTTCCCACTTCCTACAAGTTGATTCAGGGAAGAAACCAAACAACACCTTCCACTTACAGCCATTACATCAATTTTTATTGAGTGAAGAGTGAACAATAAATTAGCTCTTGAATGTGAATTGCTGAGCAATCCATTCTGAATAGTGCTGTTTATAACTGCTTATCACTGTAATATTATTGAGTGCAATTAATTCAATTGCTAAAATCTATTGATGTGTTGAAGTGCCATAAAAATAAAAATGTAAGTAGTCATTTAGACTCTTTCAAATGATTTGATTTTTCTCTTGAATTGTTTTAGCTAAATGATTCTATTTCATAACTCTGTCTAAATTGTTTTTAAGTAAAAATAAAACAAACATTTTTAAAAAATCAGTGTCAATAGTAATATTAAGAGAGTTGTTAAAGCAGAAGAAAAATAGAATCAAAAGAAAGAAATAATAAAAAAAGAAATTAAAGATAAGATATATATTTAAACAGTTATGTAACTATAAAAATATAATTAATGTCTTGAAGATTTTAAAATGCATAATTAAAATCATATCAAAAATATACTCAAAAGACGGTAAAAAAAAAGGAAGTAAAGTGTTCTAGGTTCCTAGCATTTCTGAACAAATTAAAATGAATAAATTGCATTAAACTCTAATAAATCATGTATATGTAGTGCTATGATCTGAATGTGTGTCCCCTCCACAATTCATCTTTCAAAATTGCAATGCCTTATGTGATAGTATTAATAGATGAGGCCTTTGGTAGATGCTTAAGCCATAAGGCTGGATCTCTTATGAATGTAATTAGTACCTTATAAAAGAGAATCCATAGAGATACTTAGCCCCTTCCATCAAGTGAGGATGCAGAGAGAAGACACCAGCTATAAACCAGTAAGAGGACCCTCACCAGAGAACATAACCATGCTGCTGTCTTAATCTTGGACCTCCAGCATTCAGAACTGTGAGCAATAAATTTCTGTTGTTTATAAGCCACCCAGTTTGTGATATTTTGTTATAGAAGCACAAATAGACTGAGACATACAGTGTAATGTTTAGGCAATAACTAAAACAATGCTAAAAGAATATATGCATAATGATATACTAGAAAAAATATTAAGAATAAAAATGTTTATTGCAAAAAAAGTAAAAAAGATGAAGATAGACAATAAAAACTAGTGTGTGTTGAGACAAAAGACTTGTATATATATATACATATATGTATGTGTGTGTGTGTGTGTGTGTGTGTGTGTGTGTATATATATATATATATATATAAAATCTCAACAGAAAAAGTAAACAAATAAACCAATCACAAAATGGTCAAAATACATAAACAGACATTTCACCAAAGAGGATTTCATGTGTAAATAGCACATAACCTCATAAGGATATGTAAATTCAGGTTAAAATGACATATCACTCCATACTTATCAAAATAGTAAAATAAAAACAGCAACATCACCAAGTGCTGGCAAGGACATGTATAAACTGATCACTCATAACTGCTGGAGGGAATGTAAAATTGTATAGCTATTCTAGAAAACAATTTGGCTGTTTTCTAAAAATCTAAACCCGCTATTACCATATAACCCTGTAATTGAGCTCTTTACAATTTACTTAAAGAAATAAGAATGTAATTTCATGCAAAATTTTATACACAAATGTTTATAGCATCTTTATTTACAATAGCCAAAAACTGGAAATAACCAGATATTCATAAATGGCTGGATTTTTAAAAACACCCATACTGTGGAATGATACTCAGAAATAAAAAGAAATGAACAATTAAAAATTACACCTCAACCATCTACAATGAGGCAGTATAAGTTAGCATTACACTTTTACTGGGCTGGTGTAAGCAGGAAACAACAGATATATACATCCAGTTCTCATACTACACCTCAGCAAAGGAAAGGTCTGCCTAAAAAAAAAGATTAGATTAAATAGACTAGAGTCTCTTAATTTAATATCCAAAATTTCCAGTATTTTTAAAAATCATTTGTTTTATCAAAGCCAGAAAAATATCAACTTGAATTACAAAAGACAATTTGAAAACACCGATACTGAAATGAATGAGATATTGAAATTATCTGACAAGTATTTTAAAGCAAACATCATAAAAATGCTTTAAGTAATTGCAACTTCTCTTACCAGAGGGAAAGCGGGGAGAGGAGGAGGTAGATAAAGGTAAAAGGGATCAAATATAAGGTGACGGGAGGAAACTTAACTTTGGGTGGTAAACATTCAATGTAATATATATGAGGTATTATTGAACGGTATACTTGAAATCTATATAATTTTATTAACCATTGTCACCTCAATAAATTTAATTAAAAAAATTAAAAATAAAAAATAGCAAAAAAATAAATAAAGGTTATAAAAAGTATGAATGGACAAGATAGAGCAGAAAAATACATTAATATATATATATATTTTTTTTTTGAATGCAGCAAGCAGGATACCAATTTGAATGACAATAGAGGCCAAAAGGCAGCAGCACAATATTTTCAAGGACTGAAAGAAAAGGTGCATCAACTATAAATCTACATCCAGGAAACTGTCCTTAGGAATGAAGATAAAGTAAAGATATTCTCAGACAAAGAAAAACTAATAATTTTCATACCCATAATTTTACTTTTAAGGAATGGCTAAAAAAAAAAATTCCCTAAACAAACAAAAAATAACAAACGGAAAGCTTGGAACTTCAGAAAGAATTTTGGAGCGGGTAAACATTGGGTTAAAAGTTACCCTTTTTCCATTAATTTTAAAAATTATTTTGATAACTAAAACAAAAAGTCATAGTACCAACTGATATGGTATTTGATAAGTATATATATATATATGTGTGTGTGTGTGTGTATAAATATGTATGCATATTATAAATATATATGTATATATATGTGTATGTGTATGTGTGTGTATATATGTAATATACATACATATTTATACACACACACACACACACATATATACAAATATAATTAAATTTATATTTACAAATTGAGGAAGATAAAAGGACCTAATGGGAAGTAATGTTTCTACTACATTCAAAGTTGTAAAGAGTCAACACCAGTAGTCTCAGAAGATATGTATGTATATTTAGTACCTGGAGCAACTATTCAGAAAACTATATGAAATATTATATTCAAAACCACTATAAATAAATGAAGATATAATTCTAAAACTTGTGGGTATAGCTGAAGCAAACTTTGATGGAAATGTCTAGCTCTGACTACATATATTAGGAAAAAAGTCTGAAAAATCAATGATCAGATGAGCATTTGGCAAAACTGTGGCCTACGGGCTAAATCTAGCCTGTTATGTGTTTTTATAAATAAAGTTTCTTTTGAAACAGAACCCTACTTTTTTTTTTATATATTGTGTATGACAGTTTTCTTTATAGAAGTGTAGAGCCGAATAGTTGTGACAAAGACATTAGGGCCTGCAAAGCTTAAAATATTTACTATACCACTCTTTACAGAAAAATTTCTGGACTCCTATAACTTCCATCTCAAGAAACTATAATAACAAAAAAAATCAATCCAAAGAATTTAAGAAATGACAAAAATCAAGAAAGAAGAGGAAACTTATGATTTACAATGTGTTCACATACTGAAGAGCTTCAACAATGCCCAAATTAGTCCTTTGAAAAAATGAATTAATAAAATTTACAACCCCTTAGCAAAATATATCAAGATAAAAAAGAAAAAAAATTCAAAAATGCAAAAGACGACATCACTAATGCTCCTACACATGTTTGAAACAATAATATGAGAATATAATAAACTATATGAAAATACTTTTGCTATTAAATAAACAATACAATTTCCTTGAGGAAAAGAAAAATCTTATTAAAAAGAACACAAGAGGAAATTTTAAAATCCAATAAAACTATGTTAAAAGACACTGAATACATTACAAAAAGTTGTGTTAGAATCAGGGTTTTAAGTAATGCTTTTATCACCAGATTCATAAATGTTTTACAGTATTACACTATTCTAAATCTTCCTGCTATAAGAAATGTGCTAAAAATAAAAATCATAAGTCATACAATGTTAAAAGTTTGACTAAAGTCTCTTTTTTTAATCAACAGTAAATCAAACTCAGTAAACGTGAACTCACCGACTCAAATCTGTTCCAGGCACATACTGAGAGAAACGAGAATGAAGTAGAGGGATCAGTCTAAGGTCACACCATCTCTTTTCCCATCTCAAGCCTGGTGATGTTGGCCATGAAGAACATGATAATGTGTCCTGAAAAGAATAGAAAGATATAGGTTTTTTTTTTTTCTTACTACATTTTGAGTGTCTATGTCACAAATCTTCATTTGAGAGATATATTTTCCCCTAAATAATCAAATAATATTTACAGATTACCACAAGAAGAAATTCATATTCATTGATAAGAAAACTGTAATGTATTTATTAATGGAATTCTATAAGAAAGTGAAGGAGCAAGTCTTTGAGATTAAGAATGAAGTGAAAAATAGGTTAGAAGAAGGAAGAGAAAAATAAAAGTGTGACGGAATTGAATTCATTCACAAATGGGAAAGATAGGAAAAACTGTAATTGCAATGAACAAGTATTCAATTGGCCAATATTTTCTATCTGCTAAGCACAAAACACTGCTAGAAGTGCTTGTGTTTGATTAATTATTTGTAAATATTTTGAATATAATAAATATTCTTATAAAACAACTTTAAGAAACTACTCAAGAAAATATTTGTTCATTGTTTTAACTTAATGTTTATTAAACATTTTATGTTTTCGTATAGTGTTTTAGTGTCATGTTAAGTCAACTGCTACTGATTTAAAATTACATTTATTTTATGTTTCGTTAGAAGTTTAGATTTTTTTTTTCTTTGTATGTAGAGGAAACAGATTTGAATAAAATTTGAGCTTTTCACTTTATGTTGATTTATGTTTTTTTCATTATATGAGCTTCACTGTTAAAATTTCTTCCTGGCACTAGCACATGAAACAATGTTGATATTTTAGTTGGCATGGTTTGTGAAGGGTTAAGGCTTAATTTGATCAGGGAACTGTTGATACGGATTCTCTCTATTCTATAATTTTTGGGTGATGATGTTAGAAGGAGGTTCTATTCTAGTCATGTTGAGATGCTTAGTCTATTATTAAAATTTTCTTTCAGATATTAACTCATTTAAAATTGCTTAGGGGAAAAAAATAACTTCCATTATTATCAGTAAAGTTTGAGTGTTCCTTGGCAGTTTTATATTAATTGTCACCAGTTGAGCAAATACAAATATACTAAATCCTTAGAAGAGTTTAGAACACCCAGAAAGGTAGACAGGCTAAGACCACTCAGTAAGGGGTCCCCTACTGGCAATTCAGTGAGCACCTATCCTTTGATGCAAGACTGTTGTCTTTAATGCTTATCTGGTGATTGCAAAGGCACAAACCAAGGTTTCATGATAATCTTTCTCCTGACCTTCATGTCAGCATGAGGTCAGTTGGGTAGCAGGGTAGTGAGGGCTCAGGCTCTAACCTGGAACTAAACCACTTGGATTCAAAATTTCAATTAGCCTACTGACTTATCCTTTAACCTAGGGGCAAGTTATTTAAACTGTGCCTTATTGTGCCTATTTCCAAAGATAAGGCTATCAAAAGTCTCCTCTTACAAAAGAAAAACCTAAAGCTTTTTTAGACACATTAAATTATTGCTTTCCCAAAGTGCCCTTTTCTGCATGAGGGCACTTGAAGAAACGATAATTCTGTGTGACACACTAAGATAAACAAACTAGTTTTCTTTGGTCAGGCCAGAGCTAATCATAGGACTTGTAAGTGTCCCAGATCCCACCAAAATGCCCTATAACTAAGCCTATTTCGGCATATGGCTCAAACTCTCTTGCAGGACTCCAGGACAGTTCTAAGATGGCCCACTCCTGAGCAGTTCTACAGTCAATAATTTATCCAAGTCATCCAGCCAGCAAACAACAATATTAGGATATACACAGACCCACATCTTTCTGATTCCAGGGCCAACGCATGTATCATAGGACAACATTTATTATTCATAACCAGAGATGAAACCAGGAAAATAATTCAGATTTTTATCTTGATTATTTTACTGTTTTGCTATATAAGTTTAGGCAAATTATTTAAATATGATTCTTCATATGTCTTAAAAAACACAAATAGTTCCCCTTGCTTCATATGTTTGTAAACAAATGGGATAAAAAATGAAAAAAAAAAACATAAAAGTCACAGGCAACAGAATATTGAGGACAATGATAATCACTAATAGATGAGTTCAAGTTTTAAAGGTCATATTTTATAGACTCTATAGATTGGCAGATATGCAAATACATGTGATCTTTAGCATGACTTTAATGTAGCATCTCAACTTGATGCTTTTATGTACTAAAATTATAAAATGTCACTTTCTTTTATGTTTGCACCTTATAAAACATATAAATAAACCCCATTTTAGCTTTTGAAATATAGATCTGTTATTTAGTGGAATACCTAGTGTCTTTTGAAAATTATCTTTATTTTAATTATGAAAATAGAATGTAAATTTTCTTTCCAGTCTCTTTCCATAATAATAGTCTTGCAATTATTTCGAATTATATATAAGATGATCTAAAAACACAATCATTTTCATGGTTTTAAGTCCCATAACTACTTATTAGCAGTTTTATTCTTCAGTACCTAGAATGTTGTTTCCTATTTTATTAATAATGAGAATAGGAAAAGTAGCCTTTGCTTAAAAATACTGTTTTTCCCAAAGCTTAATAAATTTCAAGGTATATTGTCACATGATAAGAACAATCATCTTATCAAAACAAAATTGATGGTAAAATGATGATCAAGATTTTTTTAATAACTTGGAATAAAAAGTATTTATTAAAGGAATCTAATTATGAAAAAAAAATCCTAAAAATCTGGCTGGATGATTATCTAAATTTATGCTGGGGCACAAAGCTAATTGCCTTTCTCCACCTTGGCTGGAAAACCAGATAACTCTATGCCCTAAAATTGATGAACTAAAGATCTTAGAAAGACTAGACTACATTTTTATGTAAGATGGGGAAGTGATATTAATATGTTTTAAGGTGTTATTTTGCCATATGTTTAAAATGCTGTTTCCAGAAACCAGAATTGTGCCTACTCAAAATTTGCTTCAGAGAATAATTAAGGCTAAGAATTATAAATGAAATTACCTGGGCCCAGGATAGAACTGGAGATTTAGATGAATTAGAAAATTACTAATTATTAATATTATTAATAAATTAGTAATATTTCTCTTAAAGAGACCTATAATATGTGCACATTTGGGGGAAAATATTTCACAATGCATACTCCCTTCCAAGCTTCTACTTCTCATTGTTATTTAGTGTTTTCTTCTCCTAATTTTATAAATCTTGAGTAAAAATGTCATCCATTCCTTATACCTAATTCAAAGCCTATTCAAGATAAGGAAGAGAAACAGGATAGCACTGTGTAAATCTGTACAGTCCAATTAGGCCTGAGGCTTATTCCCACATGAGCAACAGAAAACCTGTTTGTTTGTAGTCCCTCAATTTTTGTTGAGTTCAATTAGTCAGATATTCAAATTCTCTATTAGTCCTTTTCTCTGATGTTAGAATTTTAATATTCATTATTTGTATTCTGCTTATTCTTAATTTTATGAATTTTTTATAGATCTGAATTTTAAACTTTTGGGTCAAGAACCATAACTGATTTTTCCCCCTTGGTATCTAGAAGACTGTTTCCCCAGAGTAGGCTCTTGGTAAATATTTACTTAATTAAAATGCATTGAGATTATTTTCTTTATTTTTAATATACTTTATTTAAATTTACATTTGTCTTGATTATTATAGTCTAAATTCATAAGCATCATCAATTCCCTTACACTTGAAAATCTTTAGCAATGTCAAAATAATGTTCAATCTTAATGCTAAAAATAGAAATAAAACGTGTCTCTTGAGAATGGAAATATATAACTCCAGTAAGAAAAAATTATGACAACTGTTTTTTTTTTCCTTTTTTTATATACAGCTGGATTTATTTGGAACAATCATGTTACAGAATTACTTAGTGATTTTCTTGCTTTAATTATATTTCTAAAGGTGAACAACATAGAGGCACGATTCAAAAAATAAGTTCCATAGATTTATTTTGTGTATGTCAATGGATGATTCTTACCTAGAGACCTTCCACTCTGACTTCTCTACTTTCCATTATTATAGAGGAGTCCAAGGGTATTGGGACAAGAATTATAATAAAATCATTACCAAACAGGTTTCTACCACTCTTAAGTAAAATAGCACTTCTTTCCCGTCCTAGGAGCAGAGCTGAGATGGGGATTCTTCTGTGAGTGTCATGTTGAGGGAATGTTCTCAAGGGAAATCTGTAAGGACTGAGGGAAGCAGTAGATGAGGTGGGGAACAACCTGGTCAGAAATACGAGCTCCTGAAGAAAAACCTCTGTGTCATCTGCCACAAGCTGGTTAAAGAGACCTGCCGTTATATCCCTATCAATAAGTCCTTGTACAGCCACACAATGATGGGGGGTGTGAGCCCTGATTCCCAGGCAAATGTTCCTTACAAGATGAGTCAATTCTGAATTTGAGGCAGCCAACACTCACAGCAGCTGGGGGTATGCACACCAGCCTAGTAAAGGGAACTGGATCAAGAGCATCAAGAGCATCCAGAGTGGAAGAGAATTGGTGAGCAAAACAATTATTGAAATAAGAGGTGATGATTTAGTTGAATATTGTAAGTCTATAGAATTGAGAAGAGAGCTGATGGGAACACAAAATGTACATATTAATTTTCTCATTAAGAAGTCAATATTTAAGTGACTCAGACCTCACCATCTTCTAAAGATTAACATTTTAACATTACCTACTGTGTGACAATAGTTCTATGGCAACAAAAATAAAAGGTCAGATAAAATATACCCAGAGGTGTTTAGGTTATATTTGTAGAGCTAACATTTGGTCTTCCCAAGAGTTTCTCTTTAGGATAAAACAAACAAATAAACAAACAAAATAGACGTAGGGACTTAAGGCATGCAGCTAAAGGATAATACTGGTGCAGTTAGATACAATGAAGGACTTTCAAGCCTTAAATGGTCAAAAGGAGTACTCTGAAATAAATGCTGCAATTAGGTCAACATTTCAAATGGAGGGTGAATCATACAAGTCAGAAGAAGAAGCTATATGTCTTATATATATCCCAACATGTAAAATAAAAAATTAAAAGTGTATTTAAAGTTCTCTGCTACTTTTCATGTTTGTGAGCATGTGAGATAATTATTAATTTTACACATAACCAGAAAGAGTTGTTTTGCCTTTAGAATGTCTGAATATTTTAAAAAGTAGAATCCATAAAATTTCAAAAATATTTACAAAATTAAAAATTATTAAATACATGTATTGTATTTAACAAAATGTGTAGGTTAGGTTTTCTCATTTCACATTAATTCCTTGGTATGCGTGAAGATAGCTAATAAATCCTAATAAATGTCAAATAATTTTAATTAAATAATTTTAATAGAAAAATGATAAAAAATCATGGCAAATCATTTAGAGTATGAAATTACATATAACATGCAATGTTATAAAATGATTATATGATTTTTTGCATCAAGTTAAAGTCTCTACAGCTTACAAAGGGCCTAATACAGACCCGAAAGGAGAAAAGTAACATTAAATAAATAACTGACCTACTTATGTTTTTCTTTCTGGCTTATCATAACACTTAAATGATGAAGCAACCAAAGATTTTAAAATAGATTCAATAGCAGTTTTTTGTAAACTATAAATATACACATTCTTCTTGGGTTTCTTTTTTGTTATCTCCTTATTAATCTAAAATATGTTCCAGTTATCTTACTGTATTGTTGGGATGATAGTTGAGATGTAAGCCACTATCACAAAGAGGAGAAGAGGTGCCACTGCTCTGGTCACTTGGTGCACCTATAGGGAATAAGAACACAACACCCCAATGGTTAGAACACAAAACTATTCTAAACTAATGCATTCTACATTATGTATATTTAGTATACTCAATTATATCAAGTAAATCAGATAGTAAGATAAATTTTTATTGCATTTATAGCAAAGCTAGAGTTTTTCAAGTAAACTGACTAAAGTTATTGGAACATAAAAGAGACCTACAAATATTAATCTTTGATTTCAAAAATATTAAAGCTTTTTAAGAAAATTATGCAATCTTATAAAAGTAATATTTCATTTTATTATCCAAAGTGACTTATGCTTATGGACAATACTTATAACATTTTTGTTTGTCTACAAAAGTTTACATAATGTCATGTTTCAATCTACTCACAAATTCTATCTTTAGATACCATAATTTTCTATAATTATGCCTGTGCTCTGTCATTACAAGCACTCTTGGTGTATACTATAATTGAAAGTACTCTCATTAATGCTATCTAATTTTACGAAAGTACAACTAAAAAATTTCACATTAGACCCTTATGAGAAACCTATTAATATCTATTTTTTAAAGATTATTAATGGGTGTCAAAGTTTGATTTTCTAAGATTTCACAATGTGGTAACTTTTATAATTGGGGTTCAAATACATATTTCTTGATTCTCTCTTGTTTAACTTTTTTAAAGTCGTGTTTTGGAGTTGCTAAAGTTGATAAGTATGAGCTATTAATGTAATTGGTTTCCAATGTTTTTCTGAAATATTATACTTAAATTCTAACATCGGAGTCATAAATAAAAATTCTAACATATTAAACAATGTGTTAAAAATAATTATTTTTAACCTATTTTATTAGCCTAAAATTCTATAGTTTTTCTGATGCTAACAAGGGAATCATACCCCTTTTTGCTATACTAGCCTGGAACTAGTTTTTTGACATTTTAAATCTTAAATATTTTATTACTTTGAGCTACTTTTCCTGTTGATGTTTATCTGCATTTCTTTTATGAAATGATAATTTTAATGCACACACAATTTATATCCATTTTGAACTGAATAAAATGAAAACATAACATATCTTATTCTGTGAATGCATCTATAGCATTCCTTTGAATAAAATTTAAAGATGGGGTTAAAGGGATCAAATATGTGGTGACAGGAAGAAATCTAACTATGGGAGGTGAACACACAATACAATGTATATATATGCCTTACTGTTAAATTGTACACCTGAAACTTACTAGGTTTTGTTAACCAATGTCATCATAAATACATACATACATACATACATACATACATACATATATACATACATAAAATCATGAACCTAAAAAGAAAGAAAAGATTTGAATGTATGAACACAAAGAAAATAGGTATAAATTCAAAGATGTATGCTTACATTTTGAGAAGTTAGAAATGAAAGAAAAATTAAACAGAATAAATAGAAGACTGAAAATAATAAAAATAAAAGTGAAAAATAATGAAATAGAAAATAACGTTCAAAATTAACCAAGTCAAATATGGATTCTTTGGAAAGATTAATAAAACCCATAGTACAAATTATCTGATGAGAGAGAGAAAATACAAGTCACCAATATCAGAAATAAAAGAGGCAACACTACTGCAAGCCAACACATATTAAAAGGAAAATCAAAGCATAAAATGAATAATCTTAATAAAATTTATTAACAACTTAGTTGCAGTAGACAAGAACACTGAAAGAAATTTTACCAAAACTTACAATAATAAACTTAACACTGCGTTAGCAAATTAAACCAGTAGTAGTAGTAATAATAATAATAATAATAATAATACTTCATTACTATGTGAATAGTAATGAAGTATTATCATTACTTGATTTGGCATTCAAAATAAATTATTAAAAGTTCATCATATCAAAAGAATTTAAAAATATATATATATCAATAGATTAAAAAAATTGAGACAATTTAACATCAACTTACATTTAAAAAGAAAGAAAGAAAACAAAAGTAAAATCCTCAGTAATAGAGCAATAGAAGGGAAGTTCCTCAATTTGGTAAAGGACATCTTTAAACACCTAGAGTTCATTATACCTAATGATAAAAGACTGAAAATTTTATCATTATTCTTAATGATCAAAGACTGAAAATTTCCCCTCTGATATCTTCAACAAAAAAGGATGTCTGCTCTCAATACCTTAATTCAACATTTTACTGGAGATACTAACTATTGGAATAGGAAAAGAAAAAGGAATTAAAGCATATAGTTTGGAAAGGAATAAGCAAAACTCATTATTTTTAGATGATATAATATGTAGAAAAAAATTAAAGAAGATAAAGTTCTAAAATTAATAAGAAAATTAAACTATGTTATAAAATATATCAATATATAAAAATGTATTTCTGTATGTTAACAACAAATAATTAGAAAATGAAATCTTTAAAATACCATTCATAATAAAGTAGAAAAAACAAAAAATGTTTAAAAATAAATTTAATGAAAGATTCACAAAACTTCTTCACTGAAACATTAAAATATTGCTGAGAAAAATTAAAATATAAATGAAAGTTATGTTATGTTCATAGAGTAAAAAATTTAAAGTTCTTAGGAGGTTCATTTTTCAAATTTTCTATAAATTTAATTTAGCTCCATTCAAAATTATTTTAACAGAAATTGACAAACTATTTCTAAAATGTATACTGTGATGAAAAGGACTTAGAATAACCAAACTACCTTAAAACAATGCAGGATTGAAGAACCTATCTTAGGGGATGTTTTAAAGACATTATAGGCATATCTCAGAGATGTTATGAGTTCAGTTCCAAACCACTGCAATAAAGTAAGTATATATAATGTTATGTTTACATTACTATGGTCTATCAAGTATGCAATAGTGTTATGCCTAAAAAAAAAAAAGAAAAGAAAAGAAAAAGCAATGTGCACACCACCACACCACTTTATTGATAAAAAAAATGCTAACCATCATCTGAGCGTTCAGTAAGTTATAATCTTTTTCATTGGTGGAGGATCTTGCCTTGATATTGTTAGCTGCTGACTGATCAGTGTGATGATTGCTGAAGGTTGGGATTGCTATGTCAATTTCTTAAAATAAGACAACAAAGAAATTGTCTGCATCAATTGACTCTGGCTTTCATCAACTATTCCTCTGCAGCATGCAATGTTGTTTGATAGAATGTTACCCACTGTAAAACTTCCTTCAAAATTGGAGTCAATAATCTCAAACCCTACTGCTGCTTTACAAACTAAGCTTATCTAATCTAAATCCTTTGTTGTTATTTCAGCGATATTCACAGCATCTTCACCAAGTATAGATTCCATCTCAAGAAACCACTTTCTTTGCTCAACCATAAGAAACAACTCCTCAACCACAAAAGTTTTATTATGATATTGCAGTAATTCAGTCACATCTTTAGGCTTCACTTCTAATTCTTATTCTCTTGTTTGCCAACATTGCTTCCACAACTGAAGTGTTGAAATCCTCACAGTTATCTATGAAAATCGAATGTTCTTTGTCCAAATTCCCATTAATGTTCCTAGTTTAACCTTTTCCCAATAATCATACATGCTTTTAAATGACATCTAAAATGGAAAAAAAAATTTTTTTGGAAAGTTTTCAATTTACTCTGTCTGGTTTCATTAGAGGAATGTTATCTAGTGTGGCTACAACTTTATGAAATGTATTTGTTACATAAGACTCGAAAGTCAAATTTACTCCTTGAAACATGAGCTGTAGAATGAACATTGTGTTAGCAGAAATTAAACGACATTAATCTTGTACATCTCCATCAAAGCTCTTAGGCGACCAGGTATATTGTCAATGAGCAGTGATATTTTGAAAGAAATCTTTTTTTTTTTTTTTCCTAAGCAGTAGGTCTCAACAGTGAGCTTAAAATATTCAGTAAACCATGTTATAAACTGATATGCCATAATCCAGACTTCATTCCATTTATAGAGCACAGGTAGATTATATTTAGCATAATTTGTAAGGGCCATAGGATTTTTCAGAATGGTAATGGGCATGAGCTTCAATCTAAAATGACAAGGCAGTCAACCTGTCCTTTGAAGCTTTGAAGCCAGATACTGACTTCTTATTTCTACTTAGGAAAGTTTTAATGTCATCATCTTTCAATATAAGATGTTTCATCTACATTGATAAACTTGTTTAGTGTAGCCAACTTTATTAATTATCTTAAATAGTCTCCTTGATAACTTGCTGCAGCTTCTATATCAGAACCCACTGCTTCACCTTATACTTTTAATGTATGGAGATGTCTTCTTTTCTGAAACCTCATGAATCAATCTGTGCTAGCTTCACTGTTTTTTTCTGAAGATTTCTTACCTCTTTCAGTTATAAATTGTGACCTTCCTCTGGATTAATCTTTAGCTTAAGGGAATGTTGTGGCTGGTTTGGTCTTTTATCCAAACCACAAAAACATTCTCTATATAAACAATAAGGCTGTTTCATTTTGTTGTCATCCGTGTGATCACAGGAGTAGCACTTTTAATTTCCTTTAATAACTTTTCTTTGGCATTCACATTTTTTGACTAACAGTCTGGTGCATAAGGCCTAGTTTTCAACTTGTTTTGGCTTTCAATATGCCTTCTTAATTAAGCTTAGTCATTTCTAGCTTTTGATTTAAAGTGACAGATGTGTGATTAATTCTTTTCACTTGAACACTTAAAGGCCATTATGAGGTTATTAATTGACCTAATTTCAATATTTTGTGTCTCAGGAAATATAGAGGCCTGAGAAGAAAGAGAGAAATGGGGAAATTGCCAGTCAGATAGAGCAGTAAGAACACACACGACATTTATCAGTTAAGTTTACTGTCCTATATGGACACAGTGTGTAGAACTCCAAAACAATTACAATACAAAAGTGCCTCACTTCTATTCAACATAATATTGGAAGTCCTAGCCACAGCAATTGGTCAAAAAAAAAAAAAAGAAAGAAATTGGTCAAAAAAAGAAATTGGAAAGAAAGAAGCAAAACTGTCATCATTTGCAAATGACGTGATGCTATATAGAAAAAAAAATCCTAAAGAGTCATCAAAAAACTATTTGAACTAATAAATACATTCAGTAAATAATTCAGTAGAGGATACAAAGTCAATGTTCAGAAATTAGTTGCACTTTTGTACAATAATATAATAAAGAGAAGTTGAGAAAATAATCCCATTTATGATTGCATCAAAAACTAAAAAAAAAAAACAAAAAACATAGGAATAAATTTAACCAAGGAGGCAAATGATCTGCATTTGAAATATTTTAAGACACTGAAGAAAGAAAGGAAGACAATAGAAATAAATGGAAACATATACCATATTCATGGATAAAAAGAATTAACATAATTAAAATGTCCATATTATTCAAAGTATTATAGATTCAATGCAATCCCTATCAAAATACCAATGATATTTTTTACAGAACTAGAACAAATAATCCTAAAATTTATATGGAACTACAAAAGACCCTGAATAGACAAAGCAATCTCGAGAAAGAACAAAGTTGGATGTATCATGCCACGTGATATCAAACTGTAATACAAGATTATAGTAATCCAAACAATAGTATGGTGCAAGCATAAAAACAGACATATAGAACAATGGAACACAATAGTGAGCCCAGAAATAAACCTGTATGGTCAATTAATCTATGACAAAGAAAGCAACAGTATACAATAGAGCAGAGACTATCTTTTTAATAAATGGTGTTAGGAAAACTGAACATATACACGTGAAAAGATGAAACTAGGTCACTTTTTTAAACCATATAGAAAAATAAACTCAAAATAAATTAAAGACTTACATGTAATACCTGAATCCATAAAATTCCTAGAAAAAAATAAAAGTTAGCTCTTTGACTTTGCTCCTAGCAGTAATTTTTTGAATATATTTCCTCGGGCAAGAGTAACAAAAAAAAAAAAAGAAAAGAAAAGAAAAAGAAAAAAAAGAAAAAAGAAAGAAAGAAAGAAAAGAAAGGAAGGAAGGAAAGAAGGAAGGAAGGAAGGCAGGAAGGAAGGAAGGAAGAAAGAAAGGAAGAAAGAAAGAAAGAAAAGAAAGGAAGGAAGGAAAGAAGGAAGGAAGGAAGGCAGGAAGGAAGGAAGGAAGAAAGAAAGGAAGAAAGAAAGAAAGAAATGGAAGCGCATCAAACAAAAAAGTTTTTACATGGCAAAGAAAATCATCAACAAAATAAAAATTCAACTTACTAAATGGGAGAAGATATTTGCCAATGATACACCTCATAAAGTGTTAATATTCAAAATATAGAACAAACTCATACAAACTAACACTAAAGAGACAAAAAAATCAGATTAAAAAATATGCAGAGGACCTGAATAGACATTTCTCCAAAGAGGATATACAGATGGTCAATAGACATATGAAAAGATGCTCAACATCACTAATCAGCAGAGAAATGCAAATTGAAACCACAATGAAATATCACCTCACACCTGTGAGACTATGATCAATAAATCAACAAGCAACAAGTGTCGGCGAGATGTGAAGAAGAGGGAACCCTTGTACCGTGCTGGTGGAATTGCAAATTGAATGAAAATTGTTACTGCCTCTATGGAAAACAGTTTGAAATTCTTCAAATGATGAAAAATAGGATGACCATATGATCTAACTTTCCCACTTATGGGTATTTAATCAAAAAATTCAGAATACTAATTAAAAAATATATATGCATACCTATGTTCATTGGAGCATTATTTACAATAGCCAAGATACAGTGGCAATCTAAGTGTCTATTGACAGACAATTAGATAAAGAATACAATGGTATATTACTCAACCATAAAAAAGAATTAAATCTTACATTTGTGACAATATGGATGGACCTGGAAGATATTATGCTAAAAGAAATAAGCCAAACAGAGAAAGTCAAATATCAGGTGATTTTACTTATCAGTGCAATCTAAAAACCAAGATAAATGAAAAAAAACAAAACAGAATAAACTCTTAGATATAGAGAACAAACTGATAATTTTCATGTGGGAAAGGATTGTGAGGCTGGTGTAAAAGGTGAGGGGATTAAGAAATACAAATCAGCAGTTACGAAATAGTCATAGGGCTGTAAACTACAGCATAAGAAATATAGTCAATGATATTGTAATATGTATGTATAGTGTCAGGTGGGTACAAAACTTATCGAGAAATTGGTCACTTCTTAAGTTATATAAATGTCTAATCACTATGCTGTACACCTGAAACTAATATAATATTGAATGTCAACTGTAATTGAACATAAAAATTTTTTCAAAATAAAATAAAGTCTAAAAAAATTAAAAACTGCAAACTTAAGAAAATTTTAAATAAAAAATGTAGTTATGCACAACCTAAGTGAAAATATAACATATAACTGACAAAAGGTTTGTATACAGAATATATTTTCAAAATTTTTGTAATGCTATAATATAAAGAATTACAAATAGAAAAATGGCAAAAATACTTGAATAGACACTTTTCAAAATAAGATATGCAAATGGCAATCAAATATGCAAATGAACATAATAAAGAGCTAATGATCATTAGTCTTCAGGGAAACTATAATTAAAACTATGACAAGGTACCACTACATGCTCAATCTAACGGCTAAAAAAATCTTTGACAATCAAATATTTGAATAATTATAGAGCAACTAGAACTCTCATATACTTGCTGGAGTAGAAAGTGAGAGTCTTTATATATATGCCCATTTTGGAAACATGTTTGGCATTTTGTTAATAAGTTAATAATGTATCTATCCTGTAACTCAGCTATTCTACTTCTAGGTACTTATAAAAGTGACATAAAATTGTAAGACTTCCAAAGCCTTGAACAAAAATGTTCATAGCAGCTTTTTTAATAATAGCAAAATACTAGAAACATTTATGTTGTCTATTAACAAGAGATGCATTATCAAACTTTACTATATTCATATAATGGAATATCACACAACAATATAAATGAAAAAAACTACTGAAATATATAACAAGTGATTGTACATGAGAAGCCAGACAGAAAAGAGTAAATACAATATGATTCCATTCTATACAGTTTTCGAAAAAGCAAAACTAATACATGATGATAAGGAATAAAGTTAATGGTTGTTTTTGGTGGTGTTATTTACTGAGAAGAGGCACAGAAGAACCACTCTGTGATTTAAAAGAGTGTGGAGTAAGCCAATGTGTGCATCTTTCAGAATTGTTCCAATTACACATTTAAGATATTTGAATTTCTTTGCATGCAAATTATGTCTCAGTTAAAAATATATTTTTATTTTTACCAAGAATATTATAAAATATATAGATTGTATTTCATTATATGCAAATAATACAAAAATTTTTAAGTAGGCCTTATGAAAATTATTACATATCCACATAGACAGGTGCATCCTTTACTCTTGCATTTTCATCAGGACAACTTACGTGTAAGTTGTTTAGCAAGTCCAGTAGCCAAATAAATGTATATCAGCTTTTAATTTGAGAAAATATATTCATCAAATATTATTAATAAAGTTTAATAGATATACACAATGTATATATTTGATATCATACTTATTTTTAATAAATAATGCTTCTCAAATTATAGAGTAAGAAAACTGTAAATGTAATGAATAAATTTTGAAACAAAATTAACATCTGTTCTTTTTATATAAAGAATAATAGAATGACTTGTGACATAAAAAATTGTTTGTATTCAGGCAGAAATCCCAATTTAAAAAATAATTTACTAATTACTGTCAGGATATAGTAAATATGGTGATGTGAGCATTTTACTTAATCTTCATAAATGCTTACATGCACAATCTTCATTCAGTGGTAGTTTGAGGAAAGCAGGTGCTCTTTTTAAAAAAGACACTGTTAAGGTCACTTCTTCTCCAGCATTTCTAAGAACTTGTACCTAAAATACAAAAGCATTAAAAAAATACCATTATCAGTATGTTCACAATATTTTTATGATTACAAAACCTCTTTCTACCATTCTGTGGTCCTCTGTTCACTCACAGTATCATCGTCTTCCATTCACATTTATTGGGATTGTCTTGAGTTTACAGTCTATATTAGGCAAATATGAGGAATTTTGAAGTCTACAGAAAGATGCAGTGCTCAAACTACTATATCTAGTAATTTAATAAATATTTATTGAGGATCTATTATGCAACATTTGGAGATATACAAATCAATGACCTTATATATGTCATTCAGAGTGCTAATTTTACTTAAATCAAATTGCCCCAATTCACTAATATCCTTGCAAAAAATGAATAGGTTTTGTTTTCCTATTATATTATCATTTATGTTCCTTTTCATGAAAATTTAGAAAAATAATAAAGACTATCATTATCGATAACTCGTGACATTTTCCAAATGATGTAATTATGAGGTCTAGCTCTATCAGTTAAAATGATGTCAATTTCTCAAAACATCTAAGATAAATGTAAAGAATGCTAAAAGAATTACAAAAAGCTGAAGATTTATTATTGGAAACATACCTGGAAAAGATGTAGGTATATCTATAGTTTTAAAAATGTCACATAAACTAAGAGGAGAATTAAGAATAATTAGCAAATAGCAGTTAATAGACATGGGGAAATAACTGGTTATGGAACGTATACAAAATGTGCTCAACTTCAAGTCATTAAAGTATTGGCTATCTAAATGATTTAAAATAACTTCTGGTCCCAACAAGATGGCATAGTGTCATTTCTCCCTACTCATCCCTAGTAAGTACAACCACAAATACTAAATAAATAAATAAATAAATAAATAAATAAATAGATGGGAGAGACAACCAAAGTAGAATTCTGAAAATTAGAATGAAAATGAAGAACTGATTAGGGGCCCCAGGACTAGAGGAATAGGACAGATGAGGGCTGTCTTAAACGTTCTTACCAAATACAGAAATTAACTACCCACTGGTGTGTAAAACATTCTTTTATCCACTTAGTGGCACCAGGAACCTAACCTGGAAAAGCTCTTTTCACCTCCAACAGCACCAAGAATAAACAGTAGGTGCCTCGCTGACACAAGTTAAATCAGATCAAAGTAACAACAAACAGCCTCTAAATATATTGTTAATTAAACCACAGCCCACAAAATTAGGCTAATGTATGTGTGCTAAACAGAGTTAAATTCTTGGTAAAAAAAAAAAAAAAATCTTAAATAAGAGCCAGAATATCTTGACATAATAGGCAAAATGGCCAAGATACAATAAAGTATTTCAACAAGAAATTACAAATTCTCACTTGAACTGAATGAAAAATTACAAGGTTTTAACAAAGAAATACAATTTATAAAAATTGACCAAATAAGAATTAGAACAAAAATACAACAATATAAATTTAAAAAACAAAACAAAACAAACAAACAAAAAAAACATGCTGGATTGGCTCAATACCAGAGTGAATAAGACAGAGGATAGAATCAGTAAACTTGAGGCCAGAACAATAAAATCAACCCAGTCTGAACAACAGAGATACAGATACACATGCTAAAAAAAACAATATATTTCATCACATTAACAGTAGAAAATAGGTTTAAAATGAAATACATATATATATACATAAAATGAAATACATATTATATACATATAATCAATGTGATAGAAGCATTTCATAACATTCATTTGATAAAAACTTATAGAAAACTGAGCCTACAAAGGCATATCCATACTATAAAGAGTACATACAACAAAAAAAAACCTTTAAGAAACATCATAGTTGATGAATTATTAAAACATTTCTCTCTGGGTTCAGAAATGAGGCAAAAAAAATGTCAATTATCTCCATTTTTCTCATTATTTCTTCAGATTTTACTGTAATAAGGCAAAATAAAGTAATAAAATGTGTAAGTGTTGGAAGAAGAAATTAAACTCTCATTATTTAGAGGTAACATTTTTTAGAACATAAAAATCCTTAAGAATATATAGGCTTGATTACATGAGACATTAACAGGTACGTTAGTAAGCAAATTTAGTATAGAATAACATAGATACAAAGTTAATAAACAAAGATCAATTGATTTTGATTTAATATCAACAAACAAATGGAATATTAATTTTTAAATAAATGAAAAACTATGCTGTGCAATGAATTACTAGCCATAATATTGTAAAGATATCAATTTTCTTTTCTATAGATTCAACACAATCCCATTCAAACTTACAATTTTCTTTTCATTTAATTTTTGGCTTAGTATGAACTTATGAACTTGGCTTATGTTTTGCACTGACATTTAATAGTGATATTATCATTATTTTCTAACTGTTCTAGGAGTTTGTGACTCAGTGAAACATATGGAGCTGTAGAATGCAATAACTAAACTCTGAGATTCTATAGTAAATGTACAATAGACAATATCTAGAGTTAAATAATCAATAAATAACAGTAGGAGCATTTTAAGTGTAAACATGATAATAAATTAGACATAAAAAATTAAATAAATGGTTGCCTCAGAAATAGACAATGGACAACTACTTTTCTTTTAAAACTATATTTATACTTTAATCTTGAAGTTTTGTTCAGGTATAACAGAAAAAAAAAGTATTTTTTTAACTATAAAATCTCACCCTAGAGAGATAATTTTGTTTTGTTTTTAATAAAAGATCAGTTATAGGTATCTTTCCCAGTAATCACAATTTCAAGTTCTTGATGTGTACACATTTTTAATTAATGCACAAATATTCATGTTTTCAGTCAACAGGATTGAGATAATATGTTTTTTATTCAGGCTTTCTACTATGCTTTGAATGCATATTTTATCTGCCTGATAGTGTCAGCTTGGAGAATATAAATTCTATGTCATGAATAATGATAAATGTCATCTTCCTACAAAATCAGAGATCTGCACTAATAAATCCAGTTGTCGTTTTAATTTGCATTCACATTTTATAATGTAAATCAAATGCTGTACATTTTAATCAGATAATGTTTTAGCACAGTTATTGCCTTGGGTGTGTACATGAGCAAAGGGACAGATTGGTAAATTGTGGCAATCAGTAAGAACAGAAAAGGGAAATGAAATTAAAAGAGAGATTTATAAGTTTGCTCAATTAAACCATGATGCACCTAACAACTCAGTTCCTGAACTGAATGTTCTTAAGTTCCATTCATCTGTCAACTTCATAAACTCATTTTCTGTTCTTTTCCCTTTCTTTCTTCTACTTGGAGTCCATTTTTCTTATATGAGATTCTGAAGTGGAAGTTAACTATCTGCCAGTGCTTTGGTGTATAAAGTCAAGAATGCTCATGACTAGGGATTATTTTAAATTTTCATTTGTATAGAAAAGTTTTAAGCTCAAAGCACAGAGATTTTCCATAGACTCCTTACTCCCCCACCTGGACAGCCTCCCCCATCGCCAACATCCCCCATCAGAGTATTACATTTTTTTCATTTGGTGAACCAACATTGACACATCATTATTACCCAGAGTTCACAATTTACATTAGGGTTCACTCTTGGTGTGTATATTCCATGGGTTTAGACAAATGTATAATCACATCTATACACCATTATCATATCATACAGAATATTATCATTGCCCTAAATATCCTCTGTGCTCTGCTTATTCATTTTTCTCTCACACTCAACCTAAGGGATTGTTTTTAATTGATAAAAAATAGGGATTTCTTCTTTGCCTGTACATAACTTCAGCTCACATCAGGAATCTCTGTCTCTCTCTCTGTCTCTGTCTCTGTCTCTCTCTCTCTCTCTCTCTCTCTCTCTCTCTCACACACACACACACACACACCAACACAATATGAAACATTTATTGTTTGCATAATTGGGATTTTTGGGGAGAGCAGGTTTGAAATGCCTTTAGAGAACAAGGCAAGGAGCCTGGCCTGGGTTTTTATCACCTTCAGTAGCAATAAGAGCAGTGACACAGCTTGGGAAGATAATAGTTAATAGTCTGGCATGTCGGAATGAACAAATAAGATTTAGATCTCAAGGGAGAAAGATAATTATTGCTACTCATTGATGACAAAAATGGACAACAGTTACCTAGAATTTCACTTTAACTTTGGACTCATCCCTCTTGATATACTTTTAAGTGCAATAAATCATATCCTTAAAGTCCAGATTCTTAGCTAAAAAGAAAATGAAATATGACTTTGAGGAATGATTAAATAGGTTGCTATATAAGCAAAACACCCATGTTAAAAATAGATAAAATAACAGGCTTTACTATTCATGTTAAGATAGGATTAAATGTGGACATTAAATAAACAGGTCTTTTTTGTGCATTGGGTTTAGATTGTGGTGGGGGAGATACTTGACATGTATTACAGGGTAAGGGTTTAAGATGAAACTGTAATTTAAAGCCTTTCCTAAAATGAATGAGAGAGTCCTCTAGCCATTCTGTATCTACTTTCACATTTATGTTTACAGAGAAATGTGCAGAATGACAGGATGAGGGCACATACTACCCTTTTGGTGGTTTGAGTACTGGTGTATACATTTACATTTACAGATCACACATGAGATCATAGTGGCTGCCAGTTTTCAGGGCAGAAGATAAGGCCTTCTAAAGAGATAAACTTTCAATCAAAAAAGAAGTCTATAAGATTCATAAGACCTAGCACTGTTGGGTTGGATAGTAAATAAAGTATAACAGCAGAAATGATCTAACTGGAAAGTAGGGTAGAGACCTGAATACAGAAAAAATTATATCACATCATCATTAGTGTGTAAATTAACTGTGAGAAATCAAATATAATTCAGAATTTAGAAGAAGCAAAGACAAAGAAAAAAAGAATTTGAGATGATTTAGAAATATCGTTTCTCACATTGAGAGATGTTACCACCAGGTCATACAGATCAGTGCTGAAAAGCTAGGAATAGATAGAATGGGGATGGGGATTAAGATTATTAAACATACAGTTCAACAAAGGTATTGTG